TGTGGTTTTGCAGATCAGAAAACTCTACCGGGCAAGGTAAAAAGTAGCCCGCTACCGAAGGAGAATTGCACGGATCAGAATCTGCTCGTCGCGCTTAAAACCAACCAACTAGCTGCAACTGGCAGCAACACGTCCAACAGCGCCGTCACCAGCTTGCGCTATGACATTTACGAGGAGCCGTGCGTCGCGCGTGATACACGTTGCGACGGTGCAGGCGCAGTGTGGCAGGCCTCTGCCAACGGTAGTGCCGGTGATCGCGTTCATGACGACGGCGCGCACAGCGGCCGAGAGGCAGCACAGTGCGTGTCAGTAGCGAGCGGGAAAACCTGCCGTGGAGATCGCACGGGGGCAGTGTTCGACGACCTGATACCCGTGAAGGACAACCGGGAAGTGAACGGGCATGCCGCAGCTGTGACTGCTGTCGTAGCTAATGGCGACATCTGCACGCCACTCGCCTTGTCGCACTTTATCGGCGATGATAGCATAGGTGACGTGCCAGCAGACGGTCAGTTGAACGTAAATGGTCTGGGTGGTATGGGAAACTTGCAGTCGCAGCATGCGTCTGGTCAGCATACCCCACCAGAGGCACTTGGAAAGAGAGATCTAGAGTCTGCCAGTGAAACCTCGGCAAAGTTCCGCTGTATGCTTCAAAGTCATGATGCATACATAAATGTAGGCCTACCCAAAGATATTGAGGCGATGGAACCAAAAGCAGCAGATAACATAGATGCTGACATAGTTACACTTATGGATGGATTGAGTGGGGTTGAGACCTCCATAATTGATGGTATAGTTGATAGTTTAGGTAAAGGTGAAGCTACTTTAATCGAGAGTGATGTTACAACTATCCTGAATGATGCATCTGATGAGTCTGAAGTGTTCCCGGTTATTCCGGTTACATCACATTATGCAGATGAAAACTCAAGTGAAAATGGCAATGATTCTGATGAAGATTATATTCCAGACAGTGACAGTGATGTTAACAGCCATGATGGTGAAGTAGTAGATAACAGTAAAATCAGTTCTCCAAAGAAAAAACGTGTGAGAATAGATGACACAAATAAATCTCCAGAGAAGGAACGACTCCAAGATGCAAAAGACTCTGCACAAATGCAAGTAGATATGGATGTAGATGATCAGCAAGATGTTGAAGATCCCGATGAAGATGAGATTTTACGTGACAAATTAAACCCTGGGATTTTTATAAGAAAGGTTATGAAGACTTCTTTGGATAGAAAAGGATCCAAAAAGAAACTGAACCGAGTATATAACTCCTACCACGCATGCCTTTTCTGTGACAAATTAGTACAGCACATCCCAGCACACATGAAGACACACAAGGATATAAAAGAAGTGAAAGCCCTATTTCAGGAGGCAAAGCAGACAAATGAGGACCCGGATTTCAATAGTTTAAGGAGTCGGGGTGATGATAGGCACAACTGCAAGGTTATAAATTCTGGAAAGGGTGAAGTACTCTTATCAAGACGGCCAACAGATTCCTTCAGCACATCTAAATATGGACCATGTCCAAAGTGCAGGGACTGGATGCTACTGACTACCATACAGAGACATCAAAAGAAATGCAAAAAAACTAATAAGGGGCATAAAGGTGAAGAAACCAGTTCGAAGCGTGATCTATTACTGCAATCTGACATCATGGCTGGACGTCTCAAATCAACCCCTACTAAACAATTACTGGAAGAGGTCTTCAGTATAATGACCAGAGATGACATCTCTAGAGTAGCACAAAATGATATGCTACTGGTTGCTTTAGGAGAGTCTTGGCTCAGGCGAAATCAGGATAATAAAAACAAACGCAAGTACTATGCATCACAACGTATGAGGTTGAATAGTCGCATGCTAATTGAACTGAGGAATGAAGAAGACAGGGTTGTAGAGGAAAGGAACAAAGAACAAAGTAAGGTAGCTGATAAACCTCCAGTCAAGAATGTCAAGAATTCAGGGTCTATGTGGGATTTTCTAACACCAGCATATTTCGACAAAGTTGTTCTGGCAGCATTGAAATGTGCCCTGCCATACATGGATGATGAGGAAGAACTTGCCGCACCTTCTAACGCGATAAAGTTAAAGTATGACATAAAGAGGCTGTTACATGCAAAGTGGGCATTTGCCATGAAAGTGAAACGGGATGAGACATCCGAGGCCATAGCTAAGGATTGTAAGATTTTCTTAAAACTAATTGAAGTAGAATGGGCTGAGAAGGTGACAAAACTTGCCCGCTGGATGTTGACCAAAAGGAGCTTCTCAAAATCAAAAGAGATACCTGCACCAGATGACATTCGGTGTTTAACTCAGTACATGATAGTCGAACTTAAAAAATGTGACCTGAAGAACAGTGACAAAGATACATACCATAGAGTAGTTCGTCTGGTGATGACAAGACTGATGTGCTACAATAAGAGGCGGTCAGGAGAAATGGAATATATCAGGTATGTGATATTCTAATATTTCCTTACCTATTGTTTTTAATATAACTAGTGAGATTGCGGCTGTCCATGAATAGGCCTACACTGACAAAATTTGGTAAAAATCGGTCCCGAATTTTCACAGCTTTGTCAAATGAAAATGAACGGACAGCTGCTTACTTTGGTTCAATTATTATAAATCACATAATGCATCAGTACTCTTCTCAACCTTCTGAAGTACTGCAGTGGAAACACCAAGTACCAAACCTATTCTGTGATAACACTTCCAATCATGTACATGTATTAAATGGTTAGGATCAACTGGTATTTCATTATATTTCCTGAACAGCTTAAAGGACTACACTACTCGAAAAATCAGCATGTCAGATGTAGATGCTAGTCTTGTAGGCCAGCTCTCTCCAATGGAAAATTACTTACTACAGTCACAAGAACTCATGACAGTTCGAGGAAAGGCAAGGCACTCATTGATTGTAATTCCTGACCTATTTGATCTTCATGAGTTTTAGCCTGCCAATGTATCCCATTCATGACACAGAACCTGCCTACATAAGTGTACATTTAACAATATTTCTCTTCTAGAGATCACGGGGAGTTCCTGTCCTGATTCCGGAAGATCTGCAGGCACCATTAATGTACTTGGCAAAGTCCAGTGTTCGAGAAAGTGCAGAAATTCTTTCCAGTAACAAATTGCTCTTCCCAAACTCAGGTGAGATTTCCTGTAAAAGTGTAGCTTATGCTTTAAAAACATTAAAATTAAGGGCATTCATTAGGATGCTATTAGAGAAAATAGTGGACAACACTCAAAACAGAGCATTTAAATATTTTAGGCCAAACTACCCCGCATCCCAAGATATCACATTCGCAGTTGACTTCCCACATGTACAAATGTAAGGTATTTTTTTGCAATTTGTAAGAGAGCCATTGGCCAAATTTCAAATTGATACCTTCCCTAAATATTAATTTATAATACCAGTAAATTTGATACTAATGTCGAAAAATCCTTTGTATTTCAGCAAGAGGCTGTGCCAGAGCTTATGACAGTCTGAGAACGATATGTGCCGAGCTTAACTTAAAGGCCCCAGAGCGCATCACAAGTGTGTCAATGCGAAAATATTGTGCAACACTCACACAGGTTAGTTTGTGTGGGACATTTCACTTGTGTTCACTACCAGTTCCAGTTTTTTTCGTGTACAATGCAGCATCTTGCTGCTATGGGGAAGCCCAAGAATACATAATAAAAGCAATACATATTACTCAAGATATCGCAATTAGAACATGCCTTCCATCATTCCTACAGTTCACTATTAATAAAGCTTGATTAAAGAAAAATTTAATTGACCGTAAACCCTTAATGTACCTTCTTGTGAGTTACCATGTGCTCTAGTAATGCTTAGCAATGTACATGTAGAGCTATAAAATTATGTCATCAACCAATAATCCCTGTTATGCTATAAATAGGCCAAATTTGTTTCACAATGCACAGTGAAACAGTCACAAACTTATTAACTACTTATTTTAACAGGTATTGAACATGACAGAAGCTCAACTTCAATGGGTTTGTGATCATCTGGGGCACACAAAGGAAGTGCACCTACAACATTACAGACAGATGTCTGGATTTCTTGAAAGAGTCCATATCAGCAAATTACTGTTAATGCAAGACATGAATCTAACAGGAAAATATGCTGGAAAGAGCATTGATGACATCAGACTTGAAGGTGTGTATGTTAAATTTTATTTTGAAATGTTTATTGGCAACCTCATCTTGATGATAAAGCGGGACTAAATGGTCGGAGATCATGTGAGGGACCCGCATCCATCATCATCATATGCATGTGTATGTACAGCCTACCTTAAAGGAGCTCTAAACTTATATGATATGCAAATGAGCATTGTGGTTTACCGGAAAACTGGCCCAGGTATTCTTACAGTAAAGTACATTTTGCACATTTATTTCAATATTGGACTTAAACTTATCCTACATAATATTTTGCTATTTTCCAGAGATTGTGCTTGGAGAAAATGACAATGGGCAAGCACCAGATGAATCAAATAATGTGGGATATGATTTTGAGAAGGACCTGCTTAAAATAGGGGACACTGATCCTGATATTGACATGAACATTCCTGTTGATGAAGATTTGTCCAGCGAAGTTGATTCACAAGAAGAGAATGTCTCAAAGATGAAAAGGAGAAAGAAGAGAGAAAGTGGCATGCCAAGAAATGTGAAATGGACACCAAAAGAAGAGGAAGAGCTCAGATTGTATCTGTCAGATTATCTTGATTCTAAGATTACACCTGGAAGAGAAGCTTGTTTGAAAGCAATTGAACTGAGCAAACAAAATAATGGTGAATTACATAGGAGGGTCTATCATAAGATAGTCAAGAAGGTGTCAAACCTTAACAGAAGATAAAGGACCGTTACAACATTCTACTATTTGTAGGAAAGGGAAGTTTCTTGTTCATAGCTGTTACAATTTGTTTGTTTCACAAGAGAATGCTGGGGAAAATACTAGAGTGATGGATGTGTAGTCTAGATAGGCCTCATTTTACACGTTTGAGAGTTATATTTGCTCAAATTAGAGCCACAACAATTATTGGAAAAAAACAAATAATGCAATATGAGTAGATGCATGTATCTATCCAACCCTAAACAATCTCTCGGTGGATCTTTATTCGCAGGGCCACTGCTGTTTAGGGGGAACTATATGAAAATTCAGGTTGATAACTGAATTATTTTTCGAGTTATCCTTAAAAAACACATGGACACTGATGTTCCACTTTGCGTGTAGATCATTATACTCAGTGAAAATTGCGCCAAGCATACCATGACACAATTGTAAGTAAAATGGCATATTTTCCCCAGCTTTCCCTACATGTACATTGTCAAGTTTGTTTCATTATTTGAATTTCTTGTTGCTCAGTTTATTTGTTATATTCCATATGATCTTATTCAGACATTGAAATCCTTTCTAGTTCTTATTGAAATTTACTTATCGCTGCATTAAAAGAAAGAGCAATGTCCTGCTACATAATTATGTGTGATGAGCTTCCTGTTGGCAGTTAAATGAATAAAGCATATCACATATTCTTCAAAAAGCAAGTCATAGTGATGTTACTTTTGCAATTGCATCAAAAGTTACAAATCAGCATCGAGAAGACACACAATGTACTATAGGCACATCTATAGCCACAGAACTGTTGGACATATTCAGCAGAGAGAAGAAGCACAATGTATAGACATACCTATAGCCACAGAACTGTAGGACATATTCAGCATAGAGAAGACACACAATGTATAGACATACCTATAGCCACAGAACTGTTGGACATATTCAGCAGAGAGAAGACACACAATGTATAGACATACCTAGCCACAGAACTGTTGGACATATTCAGCATAGAGAAGACACACAATGTATAGACATATCTATAGCCACAGAACTGTTGGACATATTCAGCAGCGCAGAGGAGAATACACACCAAATGTACTTAACCGACACACTCTAGTAGTCAGAGAACTGTTGGACATCAGCATTGAGAAGACACACATGGTGTGGGATGGGATGTCGGGCAGCCCGCATGTGTACGACACATCTAGTACTGCCAAGCATAACTGGGAAGCGATATGTCAGGCGAGGAGAGCAGACAGCAGCAAGTGCATAGACACATGCTGATGAGCGGCCACAGGAACCCTGTGCGAGAATTAGTCACGCAGGGGTCATCGGCAGAGCAACAGAGCAGAGTGGGTATGACGGCGGCTGACAGCAGTATTTACGCGAGAGCATGAACGTTGGACATATCCGCAGAGAGAAAGTACACATGAGTGGTCCAATGTAACATAGACACACTTAGTAGCCACAGAAATATTGAACATTCAGCATCGAGAAGACCACAGCAATGTGTAGACACAGTCTATAGCCAGAACTGTTGAGCATATGCCGGCAGAGACGAAGCCACTCGGTGGATGCCGGGCACAATGTACTATAGACACAGCGTGCCTATCGCCCACAGAACATGTGGGATTCCAATTCAGGGTCAGTCAGTGGAGACAAACACACAAGGTGTGCTAGGAGCGGAGACTCTAGGTTAGCATTCCAAGCCATACTCGGTGGACAGTATTCAGGTCTAAGAGAGCACGAGCACACAATGCATAGACATCATCCTATAGCCCAGAACTAGTTGGCAATATTCAGCATAGAGAAGAGCCACATATGTATACGACAGCCTAATAGCCCAGCAGAACTGATGGACATATTTCCGCAGAGAGAAGACACACAATGATACTATATCACACCAAGCCACAAGAACTGTTGGATCCATTCAGCAATAGAGAAGACAGCGCAATGTGAGACAACCTCTATAGCCACAGAACTTGGCCATATCAGCATATAGAAGGACCACACGACGATGTACTGAAAGCTAGGACAAACCCATGGCCATCAGGATAACGTTGGACACGTGGTTCAGCCGCATAGGGAAGACACACAATCGGTGATAGGCCACAGAAGCTGTGTTTGATCAAATTCGCCAAGAGAGAAGAGCACACCAATGACGATACGGACCAACCTAAGCTCACCAGAACGTGTTGGAAGGCACATTCGCAGGGTAGCGAGAGAGAGGCACACAAGTGATAGGACACAAGTCTATAGCCGCTATGAACTGCGGGCACTGCACACAGTGTAGCCATTTGTGGAGAGACAATTTATAAAAAGACAACGAGAGTGTCACTGTGAAAGAGCCACACAGTAGCGCGTGGGCCACGCCACGACAAAGAGTAGCCCTTCGTGAGGCTGTGCGGTGCGTGACCGGGCCCGTGACCGTCGTGCCGTGGAGGGAGTGCCGTGGGGCGGTGGTAGCGCCCGCGGCGCAGATCCGTTGGGCATCAACATTCTAACCCGCTCGACGGTACGGTCACGATATTCGGACGTCGGGGGGGATCGTCCAAAACGAGTTTGGATGTCTGAGCTGGGGTCCAAAGGTCAAAGGGTCGAAGAGGTGTTCAAAGAAAGGGGAACATGTCCCTCTTAACATTAACGTATAGCAGGAAATGCAGAACTTGCGGCACAAATCTAAACGGCCGACCCTAGCTGCGTGAATAGTCGGTGTAATAGCACATGGTTAGGTAAAAGCCAGTCGACTTGTCCGAACATCTGGAGGTGTACAGGTGCAACTAGGTTCAATGGGCACGAGGCAGATTTTAGACATTTTCTGAGGAACATGGTCTCTGGAATAGCGATTGAAAAAACTTTTGTTTCAGGCGTGACCTAAGCATTTTTATGCCTTTATTGAAAGGACCATGAAATGTGACCTATCTGCTGAGCGATGGGCGAGGAAGAGTCAAGTGTCGGGAATAACCTGTTTGACCCTCAAAGACGAGGCGTTAAACAGGATTTTGTTTTACCTGTTAGAAAGGATTTGACATGCCGGGGGTTTGCTTAAGTTGCCGAGATCATAGTAGCAGGCGGGGCTGGAGTGTGATGAGGCTACAAGATTCAGTGAATTTTGTCAAAACGCAATTTTGGTTGAAGAAGGTTTATGCTCTTTAAATCATGTAATTTCTATGGCATTCTGTACTGTCAGTATGTTACATGTAACGTATGCCACTGCCAGTGGCCACTGCCAGTGGCCACTGCCAGTGCATGTGGTGGTGGTACTGTGTAGTTTTTGCCTGCGTTAATTGGTTACAGGTGGCAGCTCTCTATTGCAGCCCGTAGGCTTGCGTAGGTAAATGGATGAGTGCTTACCTATTCTGTCTTGCAAATAGTTGTTGCTACTACGTACGATGGGAGCTTCCATCTTTAATCTGAAGACACTTAAACGTACGCGCCATCTCGTGGCAACTTTCATAACGATCCCAACGAACATTCCTTTGAGAAGGTTCCTGATACTATCCCTGTGCATTCCACTGTTTCAGCGTGTATGTGAACACATTTGGGACTAACAGGGCTTACTAGAAGCCCACCACTCCACCATAGAGTCACCCCAGTAGACGTTAGATGAGCGCTGTCGCTCCGTGGCACTTGTTTAATTGAGACGTTCCAAGTGCTTGTGGTCTAAACAGAGGAATTGCTCCGACTTGTGATTGGAGGATAAAAATAGAATTCGTGACGTTTCGTTTTCATTATGGCATTTAGCCTATGATTCGAGTATGGGCGATACCGCGAGTACATATTTGCTAATTAAGCTAATGGCCCTTCAATAAACTCGAGACCCACAGGGATCATAGCTAAGACATGTCTCTATAATAGCTAGAATTTAAAGCAATGTAACTCAAATCGTTTGCGCCATATGATAGTTAGTACACTTTCAAATTCCTACCCGCCATAGCCGCGCATATATTAGCCTATGAGCGATACCGCGCGTGCATATTTGCTAATTAATTAGACTAATCGCGCGTCAATAGACTCAAAATTTATAGAGATCATGGCTAAGACATGTGTCTATAATAGCCGGAACTTATACAAATGTAACTCAAATCGTTCGCACCATATGATAGTTAGTAAACTTTCCTACCAGTCGTAGCATAATAGTGTATGCGGCCGGGTATGCAAAATGAAAACTACACGTCACGAATTCTATTTTTATCCTCCAATCACAGGTCGGAGCAATTCCTCTGTTTAGACGCATGTGTCTGGAGCTGCTGGCAATGCGGCTGCTGTGCTGCGTGTGAAAAGCTCTAGAATAATACCCACAATAAGCGAGTTCGGTATCTCGCGCACGCAACGAATCATGGGAAATGCCAAAGGTGATTCGGGATAAACAAGTAACGTTGCGAATGCAGCACTGTATAAACTGTGTGTAAAAGTAACATTTTCGGTCTGAGTTTTTGTCTTCTTTAAGTTCTTAGTATCTTATATTGGTTATGGCTGACGCAAATGACGATGATATGACACTGGATGATTCTCTGCAATGGAAAGTCGACGATGATGCTTTGAAGCATTTTTTAGCGGATAGGGGGTTGAAAAAGACGGGGCGAAAAGACGAACTCGCTGCTCTTGCTTATGCTGCATCGTACATGAAGAAGTCCCTGCTACCAACTGCCGGTGAAGAAAAATGTCAAAAAAATTGTTTATGCAAATGCAACTACACTGGGCCTTCAAAAACTAAATGTATAGTTCAGTACTGTCATACTGTTGGAAATTAGAAGCAAAACTAGAAAGTACGTATGAAACGCCTGTCAAACCCATCGATCGTAATGTATACACAGCTAGCTAAACCTATTGTTTATCCCGAATGACCCATGACCTGGGCAAACTTGCGCATGCGCAGTTGTAATGCCGAACTCGCTTATTGTGTAGGCTATAACAATACATAACAATCTCTAGTGACGTTCTTCATTGAATACGGTATAACCGTCAAGGCAGCACCCAACTCTTGCATGTGAAGGACACGGCTATTGCATAGAATCACCTGATATACAATCACATAACATACTGTTATTATAAGTAGCTAGTATAACCGACTTCCAGAGATCTATCAATATCATCTAGGCTTCGCTGGACCATGCAGGTACTGGAGAGTTATGAAGCCGTAGGCTTTATGATATCTGCTGTACAGTGTACTTGTGTGGCCATAGGACTATTGGCTTTATACTATCTGGCCTGGGCAATCGTAGTAAAACTGTTCTTGCAACATACATGGCATCAATCAGGGTTCGACACTAACCCACGTCCGACCGACCTAGTCAGGTAAATGCTTGGTCCGGTCGCATACAACCAGAGTGCTAGTAGCCCGACTGGTCTTGTTAGAATTGGTCATATATATTGCACTAAAAGGTCACCTCTGGCTAGACTGGTTCGTGGCCGCACTGTTTGTCGCAGAGCGTGTACATTATCTAGC